TTGCTAGTAATCTGGAGTTTTTCCCTCCATATTCGTAGAAACGTTGTGTAGAGTATAGAATGTTGATCATTGTGTTGTTAATTTCTAGGAGTCTAGTTCTCTCCTTTTTTGTTCTATAAGTTTGAGGAGTTTTTAGATCCTGTTTGTTTGTAGCGTGATGAGAGGGCTGTGATGTCTTGTTCTATTTTGCTAATTTTTGAGGAGGTTTGTTTTTAAGGAATGTTTTCTCTTTTATGCAAGCTCCTCTGGTGACCGCTTTCATTGCGTCCCATAGGAGGGGTTGTTATATTGTTTACATCGTTTTCTTTGAAGTAGTTTTGGAGGGTTTTTGTGAGACTCTCTCTAATTTGTTTGTTTGTAGTTAGGATGGGACTGAAGGACCATGATGGGGTGGTTTGTGTTCCTTCTCCTATTTTAACAATGACTTCTACTGGGGCGTGGTCTGTGATTTTAATGTTACCTATGTTTGTTGATTCTACTGAGGGATCAGACCCTGTGTGAGTAGAATGCTGTCCAGTCTGGACACTGTATCATGGCGTCCTGATTGGAATGTATGGCTGATGTCTCCCGGGTTTTGCTCACCCCAAATGTCGTAGAGACCCCTGTTTTTAGCATTTTTAGTAACTTGTAAGAGTTCCTGGTTGTTGGGGGTTTCCTTCGGAGGAAGGTTGCCCATGGGGTTGTGGGGTGGATATCTTTCAGGGATATACCTTTCATATTTAGATTGAGGTCCCCTCCTAGGATTGCTTCCCCTTCAGAGAAGGAGAGGAATTTGTTTAGTGTCTTCTGGAAGAATTCTAATTGTTTCGTGTTTGGGGCATATATGGAGCCGATTGTCAGTTTGATTTTGCCATCTAGTGTCCCTTTAGCGAAAATGAATCTGCCTTTTTGTCCTTGAGGACTGTTGTGGCAGTGAAGTTCAGGTCTCTACTGAGTATTATGGCTACACCACGAGCTTTCCCTGAGCCTCGTGCGACCCACTGTTGACTGAAGCGGGGGTCGCTCAGGAGTTTGCTGCCTTTGGGTGGGTTGTGTATTTCTTGTAGGAAGGTGATGTGTGGTTTCATGGTGTTTATGTATGAGGTGATGCGTTTTCTTTTGATGGGGTTTCCCAGCCCCCTCACGTTTAATGTAATTGCTTTTAGGTTAGCCATCTTGCTTATCTATTATGTGGGGCAATTCCTTGCCAACCCATTCGGGTTGTCTTGTGTCTCTCTCTTCGTGTTGTTTAAAAAAGTGGGGTTGCGCTGACCTAGGGTGTGGTGGGTGGGGGCTAATGGGATTAGAGTAAGATTTGGGTTAAAGAGTAGGGGGTAAGTTGTAGAGAGTTTCCTATATGTAGTCATATAGGTGTTTGTTTGGGGTATTTTAGGCCATCTGGCATTTAGCCAGTTGGTCCTAGGTCTCAGCTGGTGTGGAAGGCCGTGTTCAAGGACAGGCCATCCCCCCTGTTGTTTGCGATAGGGGGTGATCAGTGAGACAGTGTGAAGTGACTTTGTAACGTCGCTGTCAGGTATAAGGTTCATAAGCAATGTTGCCAATGTTATGAGCAACATTATTGGTGTGTTGGGGTGGGGATGTGGGTGCTGGTACGCTCTGGTGCCACCATAGTGCTGGTTGGGTATCAGATTTTAGCCTGATTGTGGGTTGTGTTATTAAGGTTGTGGGAGTTGTTTTCCGTAGTATGGAGTATGGGGGTGTTGAAGGTGTGGGTGATGGGGAATGTGGTTGAGGTCGTCTGGACTGGTGTTGGGTTGGGGATTCCTGTGGGGGTGCGGGGCTGGGGGGGATGTTGATGGTGTTAACTAAATCTATGTTTTTGGGGGGAGAGGGGAAAGGGGGGAGTCACCAGTCCTTCAGTTTGTGGTATTTGTCCTGGTTGCTTCATTCAGCTGGGGTTGTTGTTGTTGTAGGGTTGTCCATCTGCGATGAATTGGTTTGGTTGATCTTGGTCTGGTTTCTTGTGTCGTATGGCCGGCGGGACGGTTCTGAGCATGATGCTTGCCTGTATTGGTTTGCGTTGTTGTGCCGCTTCTGTTGTTTCTTTTTCTTCTGTACCGTTGTCCAGTTGTTTGCTGTTGTTTCCTCGTGGTTGGGGCTGTCACTTGGTGGGTTTGTCGGTTGCCATTCCGGTGGGAGGTTGAGTTCAAGGTTCTTTAGTAGTTGCAGGGCCTCAGGTATGTTGGTAGCCATGTGTTGTGTTGTATTGGTTGTTACAATGAGGCGGAAGGGGAAGCCCCATCGGTATTTGATCCCTGCTTGTTGGAGACGCTGGGTGCATGGGCGCAGGCTTTTCCTCCGGTTTAGGGTATCCTGAGAAAGGTCCTGTAAGGCCAGAATGGGGGTTTCTCCATATCGAAGGTTGGTTGAGTTTTGAGATGGTTCCATACCTCTTCCTTCTTTTTGTAGCGTGTGAAGCATACAATGATGTCTCTTGGGGGGGCGCTGGGTTTTGGCATAGGTTTTAGGGCTCTGTGAGCCCTCTCCAAGTCATCTGCCTCAAGTTTCAGGCTTGGGATTGTGTTTTTCAGCCAGCGTATAATTAGGTCTGCTGGGCTTTTCTCCTCTGTTTTTCAGGAAAGTTGCGGAAGCGGATGTTACAACGTCTATTGCGGTCTTCGAGGTCGGCTTGCTTAATTTTCATCTCTCTGTGTTCTGCTTCCATTTGGTTTACCAGTTCGTCCAGTTTCTTGTTCACACGTGTGTTCTCCTCCCGGTATTGCTCTATTATTCTTTCTTGCATTTGGTTCTTGTTCTCTAGAGCTTCCACTTTGGAGGTTAGATTGTTGATTAGTACCTGCATGGGAGCCATTGTGGCCTTCAGTGTTTCTTCTAATCGTGCTTCTAATCTTGCTTCCATTTCCCTCAGATCTCGTTTCGTTATTGGGTGGTCGTCATCTTGAAGGGGAGTTACCATCTTAGCATTGTTTGCCATCTCCCTGGTTGGTGTCATCTCGGTCTCCCTGATGGTTTTGGTTTGAGGTTGGCTTGGCGTCCTCTTGGGGTAGGGCGTGTGGTGGTTAGGAGTTGTGGCAGTGGTGATTCCTGGGTATTGTTGGGTTGCTGAGCTGATCAGGCTTTGTTGGCTGGTGGCTTCTACAGAGCGTTTGGATTAGGTGGTCATTTGTGTCACTTCTAGCCTGTGTTTTAAGAACTTCTCTAGGGCTTTTGTGGATGCCTCAGCGGTGCCGCCGAGGTGGGGGGGGGCAGGTAAGCAGAGATGGGTAGATTAACGGACAGACAGTTCATATAAAGGGAGGGGTTAGCAGGTAGAGATGCAAGAGATTAGAGGGGTGGGGTCAGGGAAATATGTGTTTAGGAGGGGTTGTATATGCCCAGAAGGGGTATTGGGGTCCAGTTAAGGTGGAAGTTGGGGTTGGGAGTGCGCTCAGAAACAGAGACAGACAAATAGGCTATATGTAAAGGGTGGAGGGAGAAAAAGGGAAGAAGAAGAAGAAAGAAAGAAGAAGGGGGAGGCGGGGGAGGGGGAGATTGGAGTAAAGAAGAGAGAGAGAGCGACAACAAGAGAGTTGAAAGAGCGGGGAGAGATAGTACAGTAATATCAGCGGTATTAGAATGCAGCAGTAGTTTTAGCTATAGTATGAGGGGGGCAAATTGTGATAGGGTGATATGAATGTGTGTATGTGTTTCCTTTAGGGGAAGGGGGGGATGGAGAGAGGGAGGAGGGAGAGAAAGGAGAGGAGGAGGGGGAAGGGTGGGAAAAGGAAGGAGAAGAAAAGAGAGGGGGAGAGGGGAGGGAGGGAGGGTGAGCTGCTGCAATGGTATGGGGGGACCGTCTTATTTTAAAATAGGGGGTGGGGGGGAAAGGGCTCCCCTCTCAAAAACAAACTGATGAACAGGCTAAAAAGGGGGGGTTGATTTAAAAAAAAAAATTAAAGGGATAGAGAACAAAATTGGGGATGGGAAATGAAAGGTGGGATAAAAGGAAAAAATGAGGAGGGGTGAAGAGAGAGAGGGGAGAGAAAAATAAAAAGGAGGGGAGTTGAGGGGGAGAGTATCAATAGCAATAGCAGTGATATGGAGGAAGTTTTTGTTTTAAAAGAGAGTGGTGGTCGTAGCTGGGGGCGAAAGATTCCCCCCTCAAGAACAAGCCAACAAATAGAAAAGAAAGGGCTTTAAAAAGAGAAAGAGGGGAGAAAAAATAATAATTGTATGGTTTTGGTTTTTTTTGTTTTTTTTTAAAAATAATAATAATAATAATATTTTCCCCTAATTATTGTTATTATTTTTTGTTTGTAAAAAAGTAATTAAAAATGTACGGGTAAAATATAAAAATGAGAATTAAAGGTTAAAAAAAAAAGGGGGGGTTGTCTTTAGATAGATAGATAGATAGAGCTTTTTATTTTATTTTATTTTAAAAAATGAGTAAAGTATAGGTAAAAGAGGATAGGTAAAAGAGAGTGGAAAGTCTGGGGCGAAGTGGCAGTCCCAGGAAATGGCCTGTGATGGTTCAGGGCTGTTTCCTGGGTACTGCCATTTTAGTTCTTAAGAGGGGAGTTTGAGGTGGAAATAAAATGAGGTTTGAATTCAGAGTGTGTGTGTGGAAAAGTGTGTCTTTAAATAGTGTGTAGAAAAGATAGCAATAAAAATAAAGATTCAAATAAAGGGTGGCTGCAGCAGCAGTGGCCCCTCTTTTAAAAAGAAAAGTGATAAAAGTAGGTATATGGGGGGAGGGATAAAAAAGATATATCTATATAAATTAAAAAGCGGTTAGGGATGGGAGGACGGGGTTAAAAACAAAGGGGGGTTAAAAAAATAGAAAAGAGCAGAAAGAAAGGGGAAATCCCTTTGTTATGCAGCTTCTCTGTGTTTTTTCTTGCTGCTGGAGCTCCCGGTGGGGCTCAGCCACGTGTTTTTTCCGGAGCCTCTTTTGCCTTCCCGTGCTCACCTACCTCTCCTCTGCTTTCTTGTCAGCAGAGATGGGGGCAGCAGCGGTAAGTTTGGGGCTCCTTTTTCTTTCTTTCTTTTTCTTCTTCTTTCCCCCTTTTCTTTTTCTCCCTCTCTGCGTTAGCTCCACTGTCCTCCTGGTATTGGAGCTCCTCTCGGCTGTTGGGGGGGGTGGTCGGGTGTCTTTCCGGCTCAATCTCTGTGGGGGGGGTGTTTTGGCTCCTTTGATAGGCTCCCCGGGCACCCCCGATTCCTCTCCGCTGGCGGTGCTGGCGGCAGCAGTCCTGGGAGCCCAGGAGTCGGCCAGACAGAGCCTTTTACTCTGGCTGGCTTCAGGAGCTCTTTTCTGCTGTTGCAGCCGCCATGCTGCCTCGCCGGAAGTCCCTTCCCTCCTTCTTTCTGACTTCCAAACAACTTTTAATAAATTCTTAGCATTTCTAGAACCACTTTTTACCTTCTATCTTCTTTTAACATCTCACCTTACATAGCTCCTTATTTTAACATTACAAAACATTTCAACTCATACCTACAAACGTTTTCAAATGTTTACAATTTTCTTTCATGTAAAATATAAATTTGCTCCAGGCCTTTTGAAACAGTTCGTCACGCCGATTCCGGATCTTCCCTTACAGCTTTGCCAATTCTACGTACTCCACCAACTTTGTCTGCCAAGGCACGGCTTCCGATTGGCTGCAGGAGCTTCCTGCACTCAAGCAGAAGCTGCGTCGGACATTTGGCTTCCGAAAAACGTCCGTAAACCGGAACACTTACTTCAGGGTTTAGGGCGTTTGGGAGCCGATTTGTTTGTCAACTAAGCCGTTCGAGAACCAAGGTTCCATTGTATAAAAACATGCAAGATGCATAACAAAAGTAAGAACAAAGCAAACCAAATATCTTAACAGCCACAACACACTTAAAAGGGCATCAGATGTCAATCAGCCCAAGCCCTGGTTGAAGAGGAATGTTTTCGCCTGGCACCTAAAGATGGAAACGAAGGCACCAGGCGAGCTTCCCTGGGGAGAGCATTCCACCAACGGGGAGCCAATGCAGAAAAGGCCAATTCTTACGTTGCCACCCTCTGGACCTCTCGTGGAGGAGGCATATGAAAAAGGTCCTCTGATGGGTCAGTTGCTAAGTTCCTATTCTGCAACTCCTGCAACTGATGATGAGATGTGATTCTACAATGGTGAGAACCCACAGCTCTCAGAGATCCAGAATGAACAACACAAGGTCAACATTCCTGCCTTCTGGCCTCCGGTTTGAGTCTGTCTTACACTCGACATTTTAAAAGCTAAAACTTTTCAGGTCTGGAAGACATCAACAAAGCTCTTAGTTCTTTGGCCTCGATAGGAGGAGGCCACATCCAGTCTTTTTCTAGTATATTTTTCAAAGGTTACTGGACAGCTTTACAAACAGCAGAGTTCCAAACCCCACCCAGGCTGATTCACGAGCCGTTGTGAACATTCTTTAAAGGTTTTTATGGGGAAGGTTCATACGGGGAAAGTTCATAAAGGTTCATATGGAGAGAGGTGGCCTTTGCGGTATCTAAGGCTCTATAGGTTGAATTGGGGCTGGAAACTAAGTGATATCCAGTGCAGTTGGGCCACGATCGGTGTAAGACATGGTAGGCAAACTAAAGCCTGGGGGCTGGATCTGGCCCAATCACCTTCTAAATCTGGCCTGCGGATGATCTGGGAATCAGCGTGTTTTTACATGAGTAGAATGTGTCCTTTTATTTAAAATGCATCTCTGGGTTATTTGTGGAGCATAGGATTCATTCATTTCCCCCCCCAAAATACAGTCCAGCCCCCCCCCCCCCAAGGTCTGAGGGACATTGGACCGGCCCCCGCTGAAAAAGTTTGCTGACCCCTGGTGTAAGATGTTCAAACGGCCTCGGTCCAGTATACAGTGGTGCCTCGCAAGACGAAATTAATCCGTTCCGCGAGTCTCTTCGTCTTGCGTTTTTTTCGTCTTGCGAAGCACGGCTATTAGCGGCTTAGCGGCTTAGTGGCTATTAACGGCTTAGCGGCTTAGTGGCTATTAACGGCTTAGCAGCTTAGCGGCTATTAACGGCTTAGTGGCTTAGCGGCTTTAAGAAAAAGGAAACAAACTCGCAAGAACTCGCAAGACGTTTCGTCTTGCGAAGCAAGCCCATAGGGAAATTCGTCTTGCGGAACAACTCAAAAAACGGAAAACTCTTTCGTCTAGCGAGTTTTTCGTCTTGCGAGGCATTCGTCTTGCGGGGCACCACTGTACCTGAAGGAGCTTCTCCACCCCCATCGTTCTACCCAGACACTGAGGTCCAGCACAGAGGGCCTTCTGGTGGTTCCCTCGCAGCGAGAAGCCAAGTTACAGGGAGCCAGGCAGAGGGCCTTCTTGGTAGTGGCACCCGCCCTGTGGAACGCCCTCCCACCAGATGTCAAAGAGAAAAACAACTACCAGACTTTTAGAGGGCATCTGAAGGCAGCCCTCTTTAGGGAAGCTTTTAAGGTTTAACAGACTATTGTATTTTAATATTTTGCTGGAAGCCGCCCAGAGTGGCTGGGGGGTATAAATGAATTATTATTATTATTATTATTATTATTATTATTATTATTATTATTATTATTATTACCGTACAGGGAAGGTGGCTGCCAAACATCAATGGGCAGTGAGTTCCAGAGATGCCACATTGAGAGATGGATTCCGCGAGAGTGCAGAACAAACTCCTTTTGGCATAACATGTAGCTTTGCTCTTTGCAAAACCGTTTGTCAGGGAAAACCTGCGATGGCAGAATGAAGATCCTTCCGTCTTCTTACTGACAGAGAAAGAGAACGGGAAAAAATTACCCGTTACTTTAAGAGAGATTCTCATACGGACAAAAAATGCCTGTTGGGGCATGCCTAGAAAAATGAAAAATTGGTTCCTCTTTCGGATGGATGGATTTATTTTGCCTGCTATAGGCATTACATATTTGAGGAAGGAGAAAGAGGCCTCCCCCCCAATAAGAATGATGAAAATTAGGTTTTGAGAGACAATGTCGTCCATCTTCCTCATCAAATTCCACAAGGTTCAATGTTTTTCACTGTCAACTTTTATTTTTGTATCTGTTTCCGCCCCCCGCCCCAGAATCCTTGGAAATTTGGTACAGTGCAGCCAACAGGATTTCTGCCCTCATTCCAGATCAACGGCTTCTGCTTTTAAAGTTCGTTTGGCGGCAACCCTTGAATAATTCAGTGACAAAAAAAGGTTGCTCTAAGGCCTCCTTCCCTGCAAGATTGTTTTCATTTTTTACATCAAGGACCCAATTCAGGGCAACATGTAAGCTATCCAACCGGGTGAATCAAATAGTTTATGATCTTTTTCTTTTTTTTTAATAATAATTTTTATTGATTTTAACATATAAATTATAGAATGCACCACGAAACTTATCACTTATACAATCTTTTTAGACTTCCATCAGCACCTCTGATAATCCACCGTTTTGTCCACTTCTTATACATTTCTTAACTTTATATTGCCTTTAAGTCTCTTAACAAATTATCCTTTCCCTTATCTATTTTTGCAATACTTCCAATAATACTCCTCACAGAACTTCTTGCAAACCAACAAACGTCGTCTGGTCTTCACAAATACTTTTCAAATAGTCCATAAATTTACTCCAGTCTTCCATGAATTTCTGGTCCCGCCGGTTTCGAATGCTTCCTCTTAATTTATCTAATTCTGCATAGTCCATTAACTTCATCCTTCATTCTTCAGTCGTCGGTAGTTCTTCTTGCTTCCATTTTTGGGCTAATAATATTCTTGCTGCTGTTATTGCCAAATAGTTTATGATCAGATATACCCTCCCCTTGCTAGAACCCAGGTTGGGTTACAATAATATCAGTTTAAAATCAGGTGCAAGGAAGGGGTTGAAAAAGAGAGGGATGGGAAAATGGAATGGAGAGTCTGGAATCCTAAACAGGCAGGCCTTCACCCTGCAACATTTTGCTGGAGATACCTCTCATTAGAGGTGCCTTGAAATTTAATCAATGGGCATGTTGCTCTTATTAATTTTATTGGTTGTAAGCCACTTTTGGACGCAGGTGGCGCTGTGGGTTAAACCACAGAGCCTAGGACTTGCCGATCAGAAGGCCGGCGGTTCAAATCCCCGCGATGGGGTGAGCTCCCGTTGCTCGGTCCCTGCTCCTGCCAATCTAGCAGTTCGAAAGCACCTCAAAGTGCAAGTAGATAAATAGGTACCGCTCCGGCGGAAAGGTAAACAGCGTTTCTGTGCGCTGCTCTGGTTCGCCAGAAGTGGCTTAGTCATGCTGGCCACATGACCCGGAAGCTGTACGCCAGCTCCCTTGGCCTATAGAGCAAGATGAGCGCCGCAACCCCAGAGTCGGTCACAACTGGACCTAATGGTCAGGGGTCCCTTTACCTTTAAGCCACTTTTAGGGTGCCACCGACTGGTGGAAAAGCAGAATCGTCATCATCATTTGACACCTAGTGTGAAGAAGAAGAAGAAGAAGAGTTTGGATTTGATATCCCGCTTTATCACTACCCGAAGGAGTCTCAAAGCGGCTAACAATCTCCTTTCCCTTCCTCTCCCACAACAAACACTCTGTGAGGTGAGTGAGGCTGAGAGACTTCAGAGAAGTGTGACTGGCCCAAGGTCACCCAGCAGCTGCATGTGGTTGAGCGGAGACACGAACCCGGTTCCCCAGATTACGAATCTACTGCTCTTAACCACTACATCACACTGGCTCTGTGTGTCAGGAGATGGCTAGTTTAGAACCCTGACCTGCTTCTTTTCTATGTTCAGGGAATTCTTTCCTATAGAGGTGCAACACCAGCTGCTATTTTCCTATCAGACACATTTGATGATGAGAACAAAGGTTTTGCAACCCCTCACCATTTTTTTCCTGCCATCTGCAAATTTGTGTGTGCAAACCCTTCCCTTCTGCTTCTAAGAATATCCATCTGTCAAACTGGTAAGACAAATACCAAATTACATTGGGGCATGTGATATATGGCTCATAAACAGTGATGGATGGCAGCTTGCATCCTTCCCTCCACGGAGGTTATCAGATCAGTTCATGCTCAGATATTCTGCTTCTTGGCTTTTACCTTTTCGTCTTTTGACTGCTGAATTATGCAAAGGGCATTGGCTGCAATTTGCTTTGTGTATTTCAGATTTTCTTTTACAGCCACAGGCACTGTGAAAACCCCCATTTGTGTGTTACACATCACAAAATTACTGCCACCCTTCTCAGCCACTATAAGGAAAACTAAGTACATGCAGTGTTGCAGTGATGGGGGAATTTGGGTGGACCTTGGCTCCGGGCTTTCTTCAGACCAAGTCGCAGATATCATCTGCCCCTGGGTAATTGGAAGGTCCTCTGAGAGTTAGTATTAAGAAAGGCAGAAAACATGGAAGATAATCACTGAAATGGCTGGCTACGTCTCTCCTTTTCTTTGATGGAGTTCCTGCTTCACAGTAGCAGTTTAAATGTTGCACTTCTTTGTGACATTTCTAATGAAAAGCCAAGGTCTGCATTTTAGCTGGCTGAAGAGCTTTCGTTAAAGGATTTTGCAGGCTGAATCTGTGCTCAATGCAACGGAGCTTATTGTGCTGTTCCTAATAAACTGGGTACTTTGCTATATCGGAGGTGGGGAATTGGATCCAGCTGGTGGGTCATATGGTTAATTCAACCACTCCGTGTAGGTCAATGGTGGAAGTGTGTGGGACTGCACAAGGGACTTTGACTGTTGGGCAGGACAACCCACGTGTTGATCATTAGATGTCCTAATAATACCGGGTGATTGGCTGGTGACTTGTCCCATCCACCTGTCAAAGTTCATAGAATTGTAGAGTTGTAAAGGACCCAAGGGAAATCTCATCCAACCCCCTGCAATGCAGGAATCTCAGCTAAAGCATGTGGGATGTGAAACACAAGAGGCGTCAAGTACAACATTCCTAGAGTGAACATGTTTACACATGGGGAGGAATGTTTGTCCAGCCAGCAGGTAAACTTCCTGTTTCCTTCTGGGCTGGGACAGACTTTTCCTCTGCATGTGACTAGAGGTGGGTGTGGCCTCACCTATGCAGGTAACGACAAAAGCACAAGGCAGGGCAGCCATCTCTCTCTCTTTGACTACATGCATCGAAGAAGCAACATCTGCTTAGCCAAAGATGCTCTCTTGGCCTCCAGCCAAGAGAGGACAAAGGACTGTCTCCTTATGAGATAGTTTCCATGTGTATGTTACTTTTCTAAGCTTAGCCTGCCTTCTGGGATCTGACTGTGAACAGAACGTGAGTAAACTCTTTTTATACTTTTATAGAAGATTGTGTTGTGTCTTATCTTTTATTTTTATTTTTAAAATGATATTTATTGAAAATTTTTAGAATTACAAAAGAGAACAAAGCAGAAAAAGAGAAAGAAAAAGCAAATAAAAAACAAACCACATCAAACAATACAAATTCAAAAAACAAAAATACACCACAAACACTCAAAAACAAATCCATCATTCTCAAATCCTCAACTGTCATTACCTTCTTTCTTTGACCTCCTCCTCCTCCCTTTTTTTTTGTATCCTAGTTGTTAATTGTCGCAGCAAATCCTTTCCATATTTCATAATATTCTGTCATTACATTACCTTAATCTATTTTAATCTTATCTTACTATAAAGAACCTTAAAGCTTAAAACTTAAATCTTATTTTTACCAACTTCTCATAACCATAATATTCTTACATAATTCTTTAAACATTTTTGCTAAAGCCAAGTAATTTCGTTCCAACATTTTTCTAACATTCATCAATTTTATAAAATAATCCTAGTAGTAAAAAAAAGAAATAAAAACAATCCAATCTTCATCCAGCGTCCCTTCCTCCTGGTGTGTCGTGTCTTATCTTTTATGAGGGAATAAGGGGGAAATACCAGAACAGTTATTATACAGGCTTCAGCAAGCCTGAGCAAACGCATCTGCTGCAAGTTTAAAAACGGGAATGTTACTCTGCTAAATTGTGAACTTGTTACCACAAGTTGGAAAGGCTATAATCAAACAATATAGCCTCTCCTGCATCCCTGAACATTCCCACAAAGCACCCATGACAGATGACCACCCAACCTCTGCTTAAAAATCTCCAAGGAAGTAGAGTCCACCACCTCCCAAGGGAGTCCATTCCACAGACAGAACAGCTCTTACTGTCAGAAAGTTTTCCTGACCTTGAGTCAGAATCTCCTTTCTTGTAACTTGAAGTGATTGGTTTGAGTCCTACCCTCTGGAGCAGGAGAAAAAAGGCTTGCTCCACCTTCAATGTAACAGTCCTTTAGATATTTGAAGATGGCTATCATATCTCCTCTCAGTCTCCTCTTTTCCAGGCTAAACATACCCAGCTCCCTCAACTATTCCTCATCAGGCTTGGTTTCCAGACCCTGGATCATCTTGGTCACCTCCCTCTGCACACGTTTCAGCTTGTCAACATCCTTCCTAAATTGTGGTGCCCAGAATTGGACACAGTACTCCAGGTGTGGTCTCAACAAGGCAGAATGGAAAGGGACTATGACTTCTCTTGATCTGGACACGAGGCTTCTGTCAGCCCATGTGGAGACAGGGACAAGGAAGGATCTGGTCCTGTGGGCCAAAATGCTCCTCTTTCAACAGGAGATGCCAGGAACCGAACCCGGAACCTTCTGCATGCCAAGCAGGGGCTCTGCCTCCGAGCTGCAGCCCCTCCCTATATTTGAACAACTTGCTGTCTTGTTTTGCGTGTTCTCCCTCTGTGTACTGTGGATTCAGAAATTCAGAGTCGGAAGCCTCTGGCAAGCCTCCAGCCCGTATCCATTGCGAGAGATGCTCAGCTGTGAGATTAAAGTCATTTGTCAATTGGCTACTGCAGATAAGGGAGGTATCTGTTCGGAAATCCCAGGAAAAGCCTGTGACATTTCTCCAGCGGCATTTGCACCTTGCATTGGGGGCTGTGTGCGACGCTTTGGATTGTTTAAGAGACAAGCTGCGTTCATTCTTGGTATTTACAACATTTCTCATCTTAAAAAGCAGAGACATCACCTTGCCAACAAAGGTCTGTATAGTTAAAGCTATGGTTTTCCCAGTAGTGATGTATGGAAGTGAGAGCTGGACCATCAAGAAGGCTGATCGCCGAAGAATTGATGCTTTTGAATAAAGGTGCTGGAGGAGACTCTTGAGAGTCCCATGGACTGCAAGAAGATCAAACCTCTCCATTCTGAAGGAAATCAGCCCTGAGTGCTCACTGGAAGGACAGATCCTGAAGCTGAGGCTCCAATACTTTGGCCACCTCATGAGAAGACTCCCTGGAAAAGACCCTGATGTTGGGAAAGATGGAGGGCACAAGGAGAAGGGGACGACAGAGGATGATATGGTTGGATAGTGTTCGCGAAGCTACCAGCATGAGTTTGACCACAGTGCGGGAGGCAGTGGAAGACAGAAGTGCCTGGCGTGCTCTGGTCCAGGGGGTCACGAAGAGTCGGACATGACTAAACGACTAAACAACAACAACAACACAACATTTCTCAGCATCACTTTTGCCATTTTAAGAGGGCATCCTGGCTCCACGTTTTGAGGAGTCCCTCCATACTTCATGCAGAATGAGGAGGCCAAATTCTGGACAGCACTAGTTCAAGCTAGACTCATAGAACTGTATCATTAGACAGGATCCCAAGGGTTATCTAGTCCAACCCCCTGCAATGCAGGAATATATTTTTTCCCAATTTTTTTATTAGTTTTCCAAATTTATAAGAAACATAGAAGAAAAACATCACAGTAAAAACAAACAAACAAACAAACAAACAAATATTTATCCTAACTGTTAAAATCCCAATTTTGTTATCATTGTTAGGTGACTTCCTCAAATCTCCCTAGCTGAGTTTCCATATAACTCATTGTAGCAGTTTTCCAATACGACTTTCAAATAAAATTAATTTCGTCAATTAACATCTTTATTTCTTTTCATATTATCCTCTATCCATAATGTTATACAATTTAACATATTTAACTCCTAGGCCAATTTGGTACTTACAGATAGTTCTACTTATGTTACCTTAGCATATTTAACTAAATAGTCCTTAAATTTCTTCCGTTCTTCTTGGTGCTCCTCCTCTTTCTGTTTGCGGATTCTTCCAGTCAGGTCAGCCAGCTCCAGAAAGTCCATCATGCAATGCAGGAATATTTTGCCCACAGCTGTCCCTGGGTGGGCTTGAACCACCAACCTTCCGGTTAGCAGCCAGATGCATGGACCCATTGCACCACCTATGAGATATGGGGAATTGTGGTGGTATGGACCTGGGGGAGACCCTTGTTTGAAATCACAGAGAGTTGACAGCTTTTGTAATGTGCTTTTTATTCATTCCTAAGTACAAGTTAGGGACACGGGTGGTGCTGTGGGTTAAATCACAGAGCCTAGGACTTGCCGATCAGAAGGCCGACGGTTTGAATCCCCGCGATGGGGTGAGCTCCCGTTGCTCGGTCCCTGCTCCTGCCAACCTAGCAGTTCGAATGCACTTCGAAGTGCAAGTAGATAAATACGTACCACTCCGGCAGGAAGGTAAATGGCGTTTCTGTGCACTGCTCTGGCTCACCAGAAGCGGCTTAGTCATGCTGGCCACATGACCTGGAAGCTGTACGCCGGCTCCCTCGGCCAATAAAGCGAGATGAGTGCCGCAACCCCAGAGTCGACCACGACTTGACCTAATGGTCAGGGGTCCCTTTAGCTTTAAGTACAAGTTTAGCTGTCTGATTCTAGACACTATTGCATGTCAGCTATGAAATGTCAAATTCCTAACACTGTTGCATGTTGCCTGCTAAAATCCTAAAACACTGCTGCATGCTGCCAATTGTCCGGTACTATCTAGTCAGCTATCAAGAAGCGTCAAAGAACAAATGCTGAGAATACGAGAATACCTGCATTCAAGACCAACAGCAATGTATGTGCTTGGGCTATTACTTCTGCTCTGTTCTTGGCTAGTGTCAGAGTCACAAAGAAAACGGAAGCCCGGGTATTGAAATTCTCCAGGAGTAGTTCCCAGATATCAGTGCGGGTTTGCAAAATGGAATTCATTAGCTCATTCCCCCAGCACAGTTCATGATTCAAGTCCACATAGCCTGCGGTGCTATAATGCATATTGGAGGGAAATGATGATTTCCTTGCCAAATAAAGTCCATCTGCTGCCTTGGCAGGAACCAGAATGCGAAAGTATTGATTCTGACAGCGTTGTCCTGATTTTTATCTTCTCAAAAATGGCCCAGTTTCCTTGCTGCTCTGATGTTTGAAAGCTGGAAATAAAGTATTGCTGTGGGAAGCGACAAAATCTTGCTTGGAGTCATAGGGCTGGTGTGTGTCTGTGTGTGTCTGTAGGAGTGTAGGAGAAATCTGGTTTGAACATTTTTATGTGAGCCTAATTCCCAATTCCTAAAACAAACATGCAAACCGAAAATGCAGCTTTCCTTCAAATGATCTTGTCTCCTCATTTTGTGACGCAGTTCTGCAACCCAAAATTTGCACAAAATTGCAAATGTTAAGAGAAAGTGGGCTAAAAAATTTGCATACATTAGTGAACATCGTTTGTACAAGTGTGTATATTAGATGCAAACTGAATGAAAATGTGTATGTTGGGGGAATGCATATTATAATGCTTGTGCAACTTTTTATTTATTTTTAAAATGGCAGACTGATGTGAAAATGTTGCTAACTGACCAGAGCTTGGAAAAACAAAACTGATGGGATCACCCATCCTTAGTTCCCTGCCATGGATTCCCTGACTGCCGTTGGGAGGAGACTCTGTGATTCCCATCTGTAAAATGGGTACAGCTTGAAATCCATTTGCCACGGCTGTTGGAACGAATGAGATAGCTCTGAATACTCCCACCCATAAATTAAAGGACAATTAGCATTGATTTAGATCAGATGAATGCTTTTTGCTGAAACATTGTCCTAAACGTTTGCCTTTGTTTCTACAGCATGTATCTGTGCGTGGTAATTGGGGTAAGGCTTGACATCAGTACAGGCTGCTGTTGACTAATGGGGCATCTCCTCCTTCCATAGCACTCGGCTTGTGCTCTAATTGTAAGCTGTCAATATAATTGTGGATTCAGGTAGGTAGCCGTGTTGGTCTGACACAGTCTAAATAAAAAATTAAATTTTTTTTTTTGTCTAGTAGCACCTTAGAGACCAACTAAGTTTTTTCTTGGTATAAGCTTTCGTGTACATGCACACTTCTTCAGATACCTGAAGATACCTGAAGATATCTGAAGAAGTGTGCATGCACATGAAAGCTTATACCAAGAACAAACTTAGTTGGTCTCTAAGGTGATACTAGACAATATAATTGTGCTTATTGGTTTTTGGGGAAAAGGACATGCTTTAAGGTAAGACTTTTAAAAAAAAATGGAAAAAAAAATCATAAAGCAACTGTTGGTCGAAGCTTAACATAAAAAAAAAACCTAAGGTCATGGCCACTGGTCCCATCACCTCCTGGCAAATAGAAGGGGAAAAAATGGAGGCAGTGAGAGATTTTACTTTCTTGGGCTCCATGATCACTGCAGATGGTGACAGCAGTCACGAAATTAAAAAACGCCTGCTTCTTGGGAGAAAAACAATGACAAACCTAGAAAGCAGAGATACCACCTTGCCAACAAAGGTCCATATAGCTAAAGCTATGGTTTTCCCAGCGGTGATATATGGAAGTGAGAGCTGGACCATAACGAAGGCTGATCGCCGAAGAATGGATGCTTTTGAATTCTGGTGCTGGAGGAGACTCTTGAGAGTCCCGTGGACTTCAAGAAGATCAAACCTCTCCATTCTGAAGGAAATCAGCCCTGAGTGCTCACTGGAAGGACAGATCCTGAAGCTGAGGCTCCAATACTTGGGCCACCTCATGAGAAGAGAAGACTCCCTGGAAAAGCCCCTGATGCTGGGAAAGATGGAGGGCACAAGGAGAAGGGGGCGACAGAGGTTGAGATGGTTGGACAGTGTTCTCGAAGCTGCCAGCATGAGTTTGACTGAACTGCAGGAGGCAGTGGAGGTAGTCATGAAGAGTTGAACATGACTAAACGTCTACAAAGCAACTAGCTTTCCTTCAAAAGGAAGACTAATTGACCCAAGGATAGTCAGAGATGGATCCATTTCAAGGTATTTTCCAAGTCCTATGCCCCTCAATACAGGTGACTCTCAATTTACACCTGGGTCGAGTGAAAGGATGCGGGTGGTGCTGTGGGTTAAACCACAGAGCCTAGGACTTGCTGATCATAAGGTCGGCGGTTCGAATCCCCATGACGGGGTGAGCTCCCGTTGCTCGGTCCCTGCTCCTGCCCATCTAGTAGTTCAAAAGCACGTCAAAGTGCAAGTAGATAAATAGGTACCCTCAAGTGGGAAGGTAAATGGCGTTTCCATGCGCTGCTCTGGTTTGCCAGAAGCGGCTTAGTCCTGCTGCCCACATGACCCGGAAGCTGTACACTGGCTCCCTCGGCCAATAAAGCGAGATGAGCACCACAACCCCAGAGGCATCCGCAACTCGACCTAACGTATGGGGTCCCTTTACCTAGAGTAAAAGGTAAAAAAAGGTAAAGGACCCCTGGATGGTTAAGTCCAGTCAAAGGTGACTATGGAGTTTTGGTGCTCATCTTGCTTTCAGGCCGAGAGAGCCAGCGTTTGTCCACAGACAGCTTTTCAGGTCATGTGGCCAGCATGACTAAACCTCTTCTGGTGTAATGGGACACTGTGACAGAAACCAGAGTGCACAGAAATGTTATTTACCTTCCTGCTGCAGCAGTACCTATTTATCTACTTGCACTGGTGTGCTTTCGAACTGCTAGGTTGGCAGTAGCTGGGACAGAGCAACGGGAGCTCACCCCGTCTCGGGGATTCGAACTGCCGACCTTCCAATCGGCAAGCCCTAGGCTCAGTGGTTTAGTAAGGTCAGGTGAAAAGAACTAACTGAAGAGTGCAGTTTGTTTATTGGCCAGTGTGTGGCGCCAAGCGAAAATGGAATGAGGTTACCATAGGGGACCATGTTTAGTTTCCTCTGCAGAGACCTGAGAATCAGATAGGACTCCTCTTATGCCTTTTCTCCAGGTATGGCGATTTTTTAAAAGGAAAAACATTTTCCAGTGGGACTGCATATCTGAGGTACTGCTTGGGGGTGGTGGAATGGAATGGGAGGCCAGGGAGAGAAAGCCAGGATTAATAGCATTCAGCTAAGTGGAACTAATTGAGATGAAAGATGAGCAAAACTCGTCAGCTCCTGACCTAATTATCAGGCAGATGGAAAGAGCAGGAGATAAGCAAAGCGAGTGAGAGCACTTATGGATATTGGAAAATAGCAAGGGTTCAAAAGAGATACAGGGAAGGAGACCTCACTTGCTTAAAACCTTTGCTGCTCATGGTATCAGTACAGCTTAAATAAGATGTGCTACTTTATGTCAGGCGTTCAGCCTACACTCGAGTTGGACCCTGGTAGAGACACATACCCGACTGGCATGTTCTCTCCCTCCTGATCAATAGTTCGGGAGCTTCAAAAGCTTTCTTCAGCCAGATCATCACAGCGACCGATGCCAGCCGACACAGGCACACTTAGGGATCCGCAGAGTTTGCACAGCATGGGGAACAGACCTCAGCAACTCAGCATTTTGGCTAATCTACTTTATTTACATATAAACACACACGGAGCACTGCAACATGGCTCCCTCCCTCTCTAGCATCAGGCAGCAAAGAGAAAAAAAACAAAGGACAATAGTCCCACTTCACGGAACACAGTAACACAAACTTCCTGTCTCCGTCACTTCCCACTCTGTGGAGTCAAAACATACACTGTCATGTGATAGACAACAATCCCATGACTGCAACCATGGAGCAGGAATTCTAACACTTTATACTGAGTCCAGTGATGCATCCAGCTCAGTAAAGTCTACACTGACTGGCAGTGGCTCTCCAGGATTTTGGTCCAAGGTTTCTCCTAACTGTATCTGGAGCTGTCTGGGGTTGAAAAAAAGATGTTCTGCCAGTTTGCTACGGCCTTTGCCTTCATAGCAACACAGAAAGCTGCCTTTCACTGAGCTAGATCGTTGGTCTATCTAGCTCACTATTGTCTATGTGGGATGTAATTCACTGAGAGCAGTCAAGTACAACATTCCTTGTAATGCTAGAGAAGACATGTGAGGGAATGTTTGGTCCAGCCAGTCAAACTTCCTGTTCCTGTTCTTCCTGGCTGGGGCATCCTTCCTTTTGCATGTGATAGAAGGTGGGTGTGATCTAACCTGTCCAGGTAACAAAAGGACAAGTCATGCAGCACCTCTCTCTCTTTTTTTTAACTTCCTTCTTCATTTGACCAGCTTTTAGCTAGGACTGCTCTGCTAGCTCTCAGCTAGCAGAGGCACTGCGATTATTCCTCCATATGGGGTAGCTCCACATGTACATATTTGTAACTAAGTCTGCCTTCAGGGATCCAACTGTGGACCGATGTAAGTAAACTTCTTTTTACAGTGGTACCTCGGGTTAAGTACGTAATTCGTTCTGGAGGTCCGTTCTTAACCTGAAACTGTTCTTAACCTGAAGCACCATTTTAGCTAATGGGGCCTCCTGCTGCCGCCGCGCCGCCAGAGCACGATTTCTGTTCTCATTCCGAAGCAAAGTTCTTAACCTGAAGCACTATTTCTGGGTTAGCAGAGTCTGTAACCTGAAGCGTATGTAACCTGAAGCGTATGTAACCCGAGATACCACTGTATTGACTTGAAATAAGATTGTGGCATCTTTATTCTTTTTAAGAGGGATTCAAGGGAATTTACCAAGAACGTACAATTCAGTCTGCCTGGAAACCAATGTCCCCACTGTGGAAGGACGTGTGGATCCAGAATTAGCCTCCACAGTCACTTACAGACTCATTGTTAAAACCGTGTTTATGGAAGACAATCTTACTTGGCTATGAGGGATCACCAAAGAAGAAGACGCAAAGGCCAAGAGGCACAAGCCTCTCTTTGAGGACCAAGAGGCACCTGTGCCTTTTGATGCTGTGGTTTGAACTTCACGGCTGCGCCTGCAAAATTGGCCAAGGGAAATTGTTACCTAAGGTAAAGGGTAGAGGAAATGAGAGCCTTTTGTCAGACTAATGAGAGAAGTGTCCTCAGCGTTTCGCTACTCCAAGCTGATAAGTGCCCACTTGGAAGAGCTTCCCCTGTGAAGTGGGCTTCTCTTTTGTGTCTTTAAAAAAAAAGAACTCTGGGGAAATCCTCTGTGATAAAGCAGAGGCAATTGTGCTGCGATGAAGACGCAGAGAAAGCAGTTCAGATGGAGAGACAGAAAGAGACAGAAATTATTCTCCTTTCTCTGGGAGGGTCCTTTACTGCTGCAGAGTGATTGGTCTTCCTTAGCCTGTCGCTGCGGTCCTGCGCAGCACTTAACCCATCCCCAAATCCCCATTGCAATCCTGCAAGCACTTATCCCCATTTCAAAGGTTTATTCTACACCAAAGGTGCCTCCAGACTGGTGCTTTGTGTATGTGCAGGTAGAAGCATTCTGCAACTGTCATTGGCACAATAATAGTGTGTTAGCGGTGAATCTGTGCTGGACTGCTCACACATCGGGGAAACACCGGGGAATGACTAATACAGTGAAGAAGAAGAAGAAGAGTTTGGATTTGATATCCCGCCTTTCACTCCCCTTCAGGAGTCTCAAAGCGGCTAACAATCTCCTTTCCCTTCCTCCCCCACAACAAACACTCTGTGAGGTGAGTGGGGCTGAGAGACTTAAAAGAAGTGTGACTGGCCCAAGGTCACCCAGCAGCTGCATGTGGAGGAGCGGAGACGCGAACCCGGTTCCCCAGATTACGTGACTACCGCTCTTAACCACTACACCACACTGGCTCTCAGTGGTACCTCGGGTTACAGATGCTTGAGGTTACAGATGCTTCAGGTTACAGACTCCGCTAACCCAGAAATAGTACCTCGGGTTAAGAACTTTGCTTTAGGATGAGAACAGAAATCGTGCTCCAGCGGCATGGCGGCAGTGGGAGGCCCCATTAGCTAAAGTGGTGCTTCAGGTTAAGAACAGTTTCAGAATAAGAACAGACCTCCAGAATGAATTAAGTACTTAACCCGAGGTACCACTGTAAAGCAGGACTGGAGCCACGTTGGCAGTGTATGTTTAAAGCACTACGATAGCACTTTAAACAGTCACGGCTTCCCCCAAAGGATTCTGGGAGCTGTAGTTTGTTATGGGTGCTAAGAGTTTTTTAAAAGGTAAAGGACCCCTGACAGTCAAGTCCAGTCATGAACGACTCTGGGGTTGTGGCACTCATCTCGCTTTACTGGCCAAGGAAGCCGATGTTTGTCCACAGACAGTTTTTCCGGGTCATGTTTCCAGCATGACTAAGCCACTTCTGGCGAAACCAGAGCAGCGCTCAGCAACACCGTTTACCTTCCCGCCGGAGTGGTACCTATTTATCTACTTGCACTTTGATGTGCTCTCTGGAAGGACAGATCGTGAAGCTGAGGCTCCAATACTTTGGCCACCTCATGAGAAGAGAAGACTCCCTGGAAAAGACCCTGATGCTGGAAAAGATTGAGGGCACAAGGAGAAGGGGACGACAGAGGATGATATGGTTGGATAGTGTTCTCAAAGCTACAAACATGAGTCTGACCAAACTGCGGGAGGCAGTGGAAGACAGGAGTGCCTGGCGTGCTCTGGTCCATGGGGTCACAAAGAGTCGGACATGACTAAATGACTAAACAACAACAACAAAGGGGCCAGTCACGCAGCCATCTTTCTCTCCCATTTTGGCCACTGCTCCTGATGCATCTGATGCTGTCTGCTGGCTCTCTGCCAGAAGCACATGGGATGAATCTGCTGAGATAAGATGGCGCCCAGCACACTTCCCCTGGGCTGATGGACGCTTGTGCCGATAGGAAAAACTTGAACTCTTAGCAGAGTTCTTAGCAGAGTTCTGCAGCGGTAGAAAGTGTTGCCTTGTGTGTGGATAATAAATCAGACTGAACGCAGGCTTCTTGCTAATCTCTAACAGCCTTTAATGAGAAGAAAAACATCATAAATCAGTCCCGGCGAGAGAGCAGGCATCCTTCTCGCCTCTCAGCCAAAAACGAAAGGAAACTCACACACAAAGAAAGATTCCCATATGTGAACCAAACCACGCCTCAGAATGTGAGACGTCACACAGAACTGTTTAACCCTGTAAGTTCTGATTCTCCTCACAGAATCCCCATATGGGACGAATCCCCATCTTCTGTAACTACAAGCTTAAAGCCTGCCTTCAAGGATCATACTGTGAACTGAATGTAAGTAAACTTCTTATTACTTTTAAGAGAAGACTGTTGTGTCTTTATTCTTTTTAAGAGGGAATAAAAAGGGGAGTTACCAGGATCAAGCAAAACTGGGCAAGCCAGATTTGATTGCTTAACTAAAGAGCTTCAAACGAATCTGCCAACTAGCTTTCTGCAATACAGAAGGGAATGAACTTTGCTGCATGACTCACTAGCTTGAGTTAGGGAGGATAATATTTAATCAATATAGCCTCTCCTACTATCCACAACATTCCCACAATGATTCTGCTGCAGTCCTGATCCAGGACACCTGAAATCCCATCAATTGTCATTAGGGGCACACAGGGCTAACCAAGGAAAAGCAGGCGGCTGCTATTAAAATGAGGCTGCATTTTAAATTGTATTTTAACCCGTATTTTAATAAACTGGTTTTGTTTTTTGTTTTGTTTTGTTTGTTTGTTTGTTTGTCCCCCCCTTATGTTTTACTGTATTTTTATTGGTGTTAGCTGCCCTGAGCCTGGCTCTGGCTGGGGAGGGCAGGGTATAAATAAATTATTATTATTATTATTATTAATAATAATAATAATAATAATATACGGCAGGGGTGGCCAACTCCCAAGAGACTGTGATCTACCTCATAGAGTTAAAAACTGGCAGTGATCTACCCCCTTTTTGGGGGTACAGGCCAACACTGTTGAACTTTTTTTAGGGGAGCCAAAGTTGTTGAGCTTGTTTGGGGGGGGAGCCAGTGATCTATCAGTGATTTACCACAGACATCAAGTGATCTACCGGTAGATCACAATCTACCTGTTGGACGTGCCTGATATACAGCAAGTGGAATCCTATTGGCTTCCTGTGTATGTTACGGTGCTGAATGCAGCCGCCAAGTCCTGCAAGGTAGCTAATGAGGCTGACATCTCATAAGAAGGTTTCAGCGCCTCCTGTACACTTTAATAATTCACCACAATATGTATCATTGATGGAGCAACACTCATCCTTTCGAGTTTTGCAAGCTGTGATATGAAACAGCTGCAAAGTGGGAAGGTAATAGGAACATGCCATCAGCTAAGACCGGGGGCAATGTCAGCTGTAGGATTTGCCTGTCGAAAGCTCTGCTTTTTTCTTTTACTGTGTTTTGTTTTTCTAGGGTACTGCCCAGGTAGGAGATGATAGAATCGTAGAGTTTTTTGAGGGAAGGGGCATTGACGGCCATGCTTTTTTTAAAAAAATGGTTTAGATGAACAACTCAATGAAAGAATGCAAAAATGGAACATGAGATATCAGCGGACAATAGGAAGAATCAAGGGACACACTCCAAAAGTAGCAGCGCAGAACAAAAATCAAAGCACAAGAAGTTGAGGGTAATTTAAGCATTCTAGACCTCTAGAGATATGGAATGTAATTGATGTTGTAGATTATCGCTATTGACATATGTAATCAAGTTCCACCAAACTGTATGCAAGATCTGTATCAATTCATTTCCTCGTAAGCCTCTTAACTGCTGTGTCATTTTCTCGGCGATAGCCATATCCTATACGACAATGATAAATTTGAGTCCTTTCAAGTTTTCAATTTCTGTACATTGGACAGTCATTCGAGGCAAGTAAGAAAGCAATAAAGAGTTCCTTGAAATTCACATGCATGTCTTTGAATAAAGACAATAGCAACAACTGAGGTGTAACTTGAACATGTTCTCTATATGAGAGCCAGTGTGGTGCAGTGGTTAGAGTGTCAGACTAGGAACCTGGGAGACCAGGGTTCGAATCCCCACTTGGCCAAGAAGCTCATTGGGTGAGCTTGGTCCAGTCACTGCCCCTCAGCCCGACCTACCTCAAAGAGTTGTTGTGGGGTTTAAATGGGGAGAGGGAGAACCATGTATACTGCCTTTAGCTCCTAGGAAGAAAAGGTGGGATATAAATTCAATAAATAATGATGATAATAATTTCAAGAAACACTTTGGACCTAAACTCCCCTGCAAGTGGACATTCCCACCATTTAATATTATTTAAAACAGGGGTCAGCAAACTTTTTCAGCAGGGGGCCGGTCCACTGTCCTTCAAACCTTGTGTTGGGCCGGACTATATTTTTTGGGGGGGGGAAATGAATGAATTCCTATGCCCCACAAATAACCTAGAGATGCATTTTAAATAAAAGCACACATTCTACTCATGTAGTAGTAGTAGCAGTAATTAATAATAATAATAATAATAATAATTATTATTATTATTTATTATTTATACCCCGCCCATCTGGCTGGGTTTCCCCAGCCACTCTGTGTGGCTTCCAACAAAATATTAACATACAATACTCTATTAAACATTAAAAGCTTCCCTAAACAGGGCTGCCTTCAGATGTCTTCTAAAAGTCTGGACTTAAATGTCTTCTAAAAGTCTATATTTGGGGGGGACGACGAATTCCTAGGCCCCACAAATCACCCAGAGATGCATTTTAAATAAAAAGACACATTCTACTCATGGAAAAACACGCTGATTCCCAGACCGTCCATGGGCTGGATTGAGAAGGTGATTGGGCCGCATCCGGCCCTCGGGCCTTAGTTTGCCTACCCATGATTTAAAAGGTCCAGGAAAAAGTAGAAGGCTACTTTCACTAGTCTGTACTTCTTTGGTTAGCTGCTTTTATTAAGTTGCAGTTACACGCCACCCCAATCCCTTCGAGTGGTGTGGATTCCAGGGGTTGCTGACATGCTTACCAGAGTCTCTGTTCCTTTCTGGGACAATGATATGTGGCTTATTGACACATATATGAGACCTGCATCTGGATGGAGAGAGCACAAAGCGTTCACATCCCAAGAGGGTCCTGTTCCTCCCATTGCTGCAGCCTCCGATTCCAAGAGATCCCAAACACTATGAGCTTCCCACTCTCAACTCTGGGATTGTCTTTTGCTAGTTACCCAGAGCTCAGGGCAGGGTCTCCCCTCCCTATATTTCTGCAAGAGTCTGCCTTGTTGATGGCTTTCTTGATGGGTTAATGACTTTGCCTTTGTTTCATAATGCTCCATCTCCCAGCGATTCCCTGGTCAGGAGAACAAGTCCAGCCTATATTTTGCTATTGTTGTTGTTGTTTAGTTGTTCAGTCGTGTCCAACTTTTCGTGACCCCCATGGGCCTGAGCATGCCAGGCACTCCTGTCTTCCACTGCCTCCCGCACTTTGGTCAAACTCATGCTGGTAGCTTTGAGAACACTGTCCAACCATCTTGTCCTCTGTTGTCCCCTTCTCCTTGTGCCCTCCATCTTTCCCAACATCAGGGTCTTTTCCAGGGAGTCTTCTCTTCTCATGAGGTGGCTAAAGTATTGGAGCCCCAGCTTCAGGATCTGTCCTTCCAGTGAGCACTCAGGGCTGATTTCCATCAGAATGGATAGGTCTGATCTTCTGGTAGTCCATGGGACTCTCAAGAGTCCCCTCCAGCACCATAATTCAAAAGCATCCATTCTTCGGCGATCAGGCTTCTTTATGGTCCAGCTCTCACTTCCATACATCACTACTGGGAAAACCATAGCTTTAACTATACGGACCTTTGTTGGCAAGGTGATGCCTCTGATTTTTAAGATGTTGTCTACGTTTGTTATTTTGCTGTAGCCATTGATTAAACGCAACATTTGCTAGAGCCAGGAATTATGGGTTTTGCCTAAATCCTGACCCCTTTACGGAACCCAGAGATTGTAGGAGAGCCTCTCAACTTAAAACATTGCAAAAAGAGAGAGGCAGAATCAGCCCTATTGTTGTTATCCATTAAATTTCTATACTGCCTTTCATCCGAGGGTCACAGGGAGTTTGCGATATAAAGAGGAAGGCAAGAGCCAGAAAACAATGCAAAAAAAATAAGGCTTGCCTCTTTCCCATCCTTTCTGGGCCCAGCTTGCCATGGATTAATGCATCCCAGCTCCATTGCCTGTAATCACCAACGTTTATTGCTGCCTTGATTTACTCAAAACAGGAGCTGTGTTTATGAGAGCTACCACCAGCTGGCAATTGCGAGACCTCTGAGTGACAGTTTTAGGGGCCAGGCAGTGCAGTTTTTGCCATCATTAATTGCATGTCTTGATGACTCTGGCAGCGCACGATTTTGCAGGCATTAATGGGTGCTTTTAGGAAGAACGTGTCTCCTTGCCAGCTCCAACAGAGCAGCTGGGCCCGTCTCCTCACGGAAAAGACTCCGCTGCTCAGTTTCGACTCTGGAGAGTTGTGCTTGCAACTGGCAAGGGAATTCCTGGACGTTGGAATATCCTTGTAATACCATTTTGGCCTGAATATAAGCCTCACCCCCCCCCCCAAATTCTGACCGTGAAAAGTTAAAGTGTGGCTTAAATCCGCTTACAAAAAAAATGGCTTTTACAATATCGCTGCTGAAACAGACATACAGTAAAACGGAACGGGTGTGAGTGACTGCAGAATTTCAAGGGAGTGGCTTATATCTAGGCATTGTCTCTCCCCCCCCCCCCAAAAAAAATTTCAAAGGTGCGGCTTATATTCGGGCCAATACAGAACAGCGGTACCTGGGGTTACATACGCTTCAGGTTACAGACTCCGCTAACCCAGAAATAGTGCTTCAGGTTAAGAACTTTGCTTCAAGATGAGAACAGAAATCGTGCTCCGGCGGCAGCGGGAGGCCCCATTAGCTAAAGTGGTGCTTCAGGTTAAGAACAGTTTTAGGTTAAGAACGGACCTCCGGAACGAATTAAGTACTTAACCCGAGGTACCACTGTAGTTGTTATGGAGAGTTTACAGGAGGGCAGTAAAACTTTTTCAGCAGGGGGCCAGTCTACTGTTCCTCAGACCTTGTGGGGGCCGGACTTTTTTTTAAAAAAAATATTTTATTAAGGATTTTCTTGTTTTACAGAAGTAAGTGTAATGCCTCGTATTTTTTTCCCCATGTAACATTTTCACAAATCCGGGAGACTTCCGGAGGCGGCGCCAGCGATCGATGGCGGATTCCCTCGGTCAGAGGGAATAAGCCCCACGAAAAAAGGGTCGAATCCCGCTTCGGCGCAGCGGGGGACCCCTAAAAATCACAGGTGGGGGAAGCCTGTGAACCTGGGACCCAGCGGGCACATTTGGTGTTCCCCCCCAACCCGGCAGAAAGCCCAGAAACGGGCTTGAAATCGGAGCAGGGGAGAGCGCGGTGCTGTGGGCTGTCTGCTCGTTCATGGAGTGAAGCCGCAAGCTGTCAATCGGAGAGCGCTGCCTTTCTTTCTTGAAATTCGGACTTGGAAAGCAACGATCCGTGAGTAGGATTTATTCAAATTGGAACTGTACAAATTAGATCTGAAATCAGGCTGAAAACGGAGGAGGTTTAAAAGGAAGTCAACCTCCTTCTATTGTAGATAGACTTAAAGCATTGAACTTGAAAACGGAAGCTTTTGGAAAGGACGCTTTTAGAGGACTTTAATCCAATCACTGAACCTGGACTTTTCCCTCTATAAGCTGAGGGAAAATAGGGGAGATCTCTGGAGGTGATTTCTTTATAAAGAGTGGAAAAGAAGAGATTAAACCATCACTCAATTTCCTGGGAAAGGACTCTCCAGATCCTAGGGAAAAAAAGAGGTACTGTCTTGTAATATATTTTGACAGCTAGTCCTGCATTGGTTAAAAAGTTTGGATAAGATCTTGTGAATATATATCTCCTGGTCTTAAGCTGAAAACTGTGATAGATTGATTCCCTGTTAAACAAACTAGGGGACTTAAAAGGAAATTAAAGTATCCAAGAACTTTTAGGACTGTTACAGTGTCCCCTAGTGGAACCTGGAACTGTTGCAACTTATTACAACTGTAACTGTAGCAGGCTTGAGGAGTTCTCACACTATTTGGAAGGAAATTTCCACTGTACAATTCTAACTACGTGTCTGACCTTGAGAATTATCTAAGGAATGGCAGATAAAGAGAAGACGGAGGCTTCGACTACAAGATCGGGGAGGAATATTCGCATAGAAGAAGGATTACAAAGGAGAGCTTCGGTCTCAGGCCCTTCTGGAACCTCAACAACAGCCTCATCGGCACAATCAAAGGTAAAAAGCTCGACAAGTGAAGAAGCCTTTGCTCAAGTTTTGGCCAAAGTTAATGAATCTTTGAGTAAAATAAGTCAACAAGTAGCAGAGGCTTGTGAGAAGATTGATCAAAATACAGCAAGTATAAATAATTTGGGCCAAAAAGTAAATACCAACACTGAGACTATTCAGAAATTATTAGAGGAATCGGCCGCAACTCGCCAGATTGCTGAAGAGGCTAAAGAAATTGCTACAACTTCTGCTACGGATGTTAAGGAGGTTCAAGAGGAATTACCAACATTGCATAAACAATTGGAAGACCATAAACTAACTCTGTCTATGATAGATTTGAGGGAGAAGCAAGTGAATCTTCGGGTCAGATCAGTACCAGAGGTGGAAAAGGACAATTTAGCTGAATTTCTCACGCAGGAATTTTTGGACTTTTGGGATCCAGAACTGGCAAAAGACAGTTTCAAAATAGTAAACGCATTTAGACTTGGGAGAAAAGGAGAAAAGAAAGTGAGAGACTGTCTGATTACTTTTAGAACAAAAGAAGAGAGGGATAAGATTTTGGGCCTACACTTCAGGAAAACATTGGAAATTCATCAGAAAAGGGTGGAAATATTCAAAGACATTCCGAAATATATTCTGGATCTCAGATCAAAATATAAAGACCTGGTTATCCTGCTGAGAAGGAACAACATCAATTTCAGGTGGGAACTCCCTCAAGGCCTGTCTTTTACCTACAAGGGAAAGAAGAGGAAAATAAGATCGGA